AATATGTGCTCGTTTGTGAACAACATTCTTGCACATATCAGGGCCTCTGACGAAGGGGGGCTGGGGGGCCATTGCCCCCTCACTCTTTTTGCAAAACAATAGAGCTTTTTTCAAAACCTTTTGTTATGATTGTTATATTTTCTCTTGGCCCCTCCACTTGCCAGCCTGCATCGGAGCCCATGCATATCTTACTATATCTTGCTACACTTCCTTTAGAACACAAGCCTCGAAATTTGTCAAAATTTCAGAACAAATAAATACCAAGTCGATGCTGAGGTACTGTACAATGTATTTTGAGCAAAGTTGTGAAACATCCTAACCTTGGTAACAGAAATAGAAGATCCAGGCGGACAAACGGATGACTTTTAGATGCATCTTTAAAAAGATTCCACCACAAACACGAGGTGTTTTTTGCCATCTAAGAGTGCTCTGCTCTGTTAGTGAATTTTCATACTTGTCGTCAAATAAAGGAGACCTCACTCACTTAGTCAGCAAATGTGACCTAACCCCCGAGCACTTGTCTTCAGGGGCGGCGCCAAGGGAAGGTATGGCGAGGTAATTAACCACCCACTTTCGCCAAAACACGGCTCGCATATTTGTTCTAGAAATTGATAAAAAAGCATAAGGTAGGGGGTAAATCATACTTTCACCCAAAGGAAAATTCACCTGGTGCAAAGCACTGAAACGAGGCAAAAGGGCGTGTCCTCAATTGTCACACCCATTACCCTCCAATCTGCAGTAGCTAGCGCCGCCACTGCTTGCCTTGAGCATAATACGATCGTGCTGCTTACACCCTAATGAATTAAGAACAAATTAAGACAAATCGGCAGCCAGCCTGAGCTTCAATTTACTGGCTCTTATAAAAAAGTGTTTGATCAAATAGAACAGAGTGAGAAATTACCTTGAAAAGATAGAATTAGGCCTGGTTCAAATGTCGCACTTCTCATGTGTCGAACCTAACTCTGTTTGGAGGGACACTTGAGCATTTTTAGTGCGACTCCCGTTTCAAACGTCGAACTTCATGAAGTATCTTGGTTTAAAATTCAGAAACAAAGAAAAACAGTGACGAGAATCCATGCCACGCCACCTTTCATGCATGCTGTTAAATTTCTTGTCTGTTCTTGGTGTTGACTGTTCAAAACATCCTTCTTTGGTAGATACATCTTTTAGGGACATGGCTAGCTCAAGTTTTTGTACATCAATTGTAGTTTCGAACGTTTGGTTAGATGCTGTTAGTTTCTAATCTTATTTCATCCTTTTGTGAATTTCGCCCAACGAACATGCTAGGGACATCTTACGAATTGTTATTTATCTAGCATTAAGCATACGCTCCAAATTTGCATAATTACTGTCCTTTTTACATAATTACATAAAATTTGCATAATTACATATTTAATGTTCGATCAATTCTCAGAATCAGAAAGGCTTCCAATTGGCATTAAGCACCGTGTCTCAAAGTTACTTTAGATTTTGTGTTGAAAAAAACAACATAAAAGGAAAAACACGTAAAAACACGGTGTCGAATGATATGTAAAGAAAGTTTTTAATCTGAAATAAATTCAGAAAAAATGGTAGGCTGGTTATAAAACAAGTTGTTGTACACCAACATTGGAGCGAGGATGGCAGCATTTAGCGTCAGGATGCACAGATCAAAAGCTCTGGGGTTCGAGTCAACCACGTAGCTTCAAATATCGGCACGGGAGACAAACTTGATCAAGGAACGTACCTCAAAGGGCTAGCCTCTGTCCCAGACCCCTATTTTCAAATTAGGGGTCTGGAGCACAGGCTACAAAGTACAGGCCTTTAAGCAAGGAAACAGATGCATAACAGCTAATAAAGCGCTCATTTGGAATAAATCAAACTTACAAAAGTGGTTTGAGTCAGCAAGAAAACATATTACGACAAAATATTAAACAAATGATATATCGCCTTCTTGAGGCATCAATGTACATGGACGAAAAATTTACACCATAATCAAAACTCGAAAATTGCACACGATTCTGGTTCCTTACTCTAGCAGTGGGTCCGTTGTAATTAACCGATTACGCGGATTTGTCGTACGTGCGAGTTTGTTTCACAGTTAACTTCGTCATTTCCATTTGGACAACAGTATAACGGTCAACGAATACCGGGATGAAAAAGGCAACCCACCCCCCCTTAATAATTGCTAAACTGTAATATACCTCCTTGATAACGGTGTGCTGAATGAGAAGGAATACAATTGGCAGCCTCCCAATATGAATTTCGTTCCGACTGCACTGTACAATCTCATTTTCTTTTAGCAGTTTGTGTAATTTCTGGATTGTGTAATTTCTGGATTATGGCCCTGGTACTTCTAGCGCTACATAAAGTGAACCAGACTCGGGCATCTTTCCGGTTTCCGGTAAAACCAATACTCAACTAAAACCGGCCAAGGGTGTTTCGGACCGGGGAGTGTGCATTTTTTTATATGCTAAGTAAAACCACCAAAACGTTGTCGAAATTGGGATAGTTTTTTGGGTTGGGATGTTTGTTGTTCAATATAATACCCTTCAACTTTTCCGGTCTCTCTCCAGGCAAAAAGGTCAAAGAAGAACGCACTTTTCTTCTCTATTAGGGGGTACCAGGTCTCTGAATTTTATGAAGACATTCATCTGGTCTGGTATCGGAAGACTTTCTGCTTCTAAAAACAAAATCACTCTATTTCGAAATTCGCTTGCAGCACTCATTTTCACGCAATCACGCCATGAGTAATGCTAGTTCACAGATAACGCACGAATGTCTATTGACGTATTCACGCATAATAAAAATTTGTTTCACGAATTCACGTATCGAAAATACGCCTATCACGCAATCACGACAAAATACCTGGCACCCCCTACTAGTATTAGAACAGAAATGATCATGTAAAAATCAATCTTTAGAAAAGTTTTTCTAGTTATTTTGTGCTTATCTTATATTAAACTTCTCTCTATTACAAAAAAGACTGTTATTCATTATGATACTCTGAAGTTGATGGTCTATTATGTATTTAGCTAGGATTTGAAATTTACAGCGATAGTTTTATTTGTGTATTACTGTCGATGAAGAATGCTACTTCGAAACATTATTTAGGAGTTTTTCAACCATGTACTTTGGTCATATTCTTATCCATTAATCAACCATAATTTGTCAAAGAAATTTCTATGGTATATCCAATTTATCCATAAAATTTCCCTAGATTGTCAAAAAATGTCCATGATTTCAAGGAATAGTTACCAACAATTGAAACATAGCTTTCATTCTATCATTTAAAAGATAGTATCCCCTAGGTATTGTTGACACTACCACTTATTTTAGAAAATTGCAGGTTAAGTATATATTGTCATGGGCCAAATTGCCATTGCTTCAATTTTAAAATTTAAGTGAAATTTTTCCTGAGTTCCTTGGATTTGATCAGTAATTTTAGCCACCAAAATATTCAAAATATTCACTTCTGCTCTAATGAAGTCCCGTATGCCGGGACGAAATATTAGCCTTCACTGATTTACATGCATTTATTGCTATTAATTCTCGTCGCATTGCGGTGTTTCTCATTTGCTACATTTTCATCGATTTTTCGCAGCAAGAATTCCTTGGAGCCCGTCGAGCGGCCTGCTATCGTGACCTTTTCTTTATTTACATAAAAATATTCAAGTTGTCAGTAAAAGACTGCTAGCGTATAATCTTCTCAACAGAGGCATTGGGGAGGGAGATAGGGAGGTAAATAAAGTTAAGGGAACTATGGAAGACACCCCCTTCTCTTCTCCACATCTCCACCTCTTCTCACTCCCTTTCTCCGCCCACAATAGTCTCCGTGGAGGAGAGTAGTTAGCGTATATTATATGATACTATAGTAAGGTAGTCCAATGTGAAAAGAAACTTTATGATGTATATTTTAATTTTAGAGAATGGAGTAAATACTTTCCGAAAAATGGTTGGGAACCAGGGGAGGGGGTATAATCCCACTAGAATAGAATGCAACTAACTAGAATGCAATTTTGACGAATCTATGTTTGTCTCGAAACAAACAATTGACCAATTGAACAATTGAAAAAGTTTAAATTTTGTAAATCAAATTCTTCTTATGAAACTGATGAAATTGTGAAACCAATTTAAATCAAATTTGTTAATTAATTTGTATCCAATTAATTAAGATCTTTGCAGTTATCATTTAAATTAACACTGGCATTCTCTATACGGGCACACTTGTGGTTTCCCTCTGATACAATGTTAATCATTCAATTCAAATTGGATGTAATAAATTAGAAAGTCTCTTTCCTTGTCAGCTATTTTCCTTTTACTGTTTGCTAAGAACTTTCATTTTTTCTGTAGCGAACTATGCATAAGTTTAAATTTTTCAATTCTTCAAACTACAAATGACAAAAATGGAAAGAAAGTGTTGAAAATGTGTACCTTATCATTTGTCACTTACGAAGAAGATCTACCTCAGCATTGATTTTTCACACCCCCCCCCCTCCCCGCTTAAGAAAACCTGATAGGCTGAGAATCACAACAACATTCACTTGTAGCCATACAGTGTTTATCAGAAGTTATGAATCTTTTGGAATCAATAATGTTACTCGTATATTTAGGATATGGTCAACAATCCTTTAATAAATCAAAAATTACGTCTTAAAAAAGTCGCAGGCAATGTCTTGATAACTTGAATTGCCATCAAAGATTTTTATAAAATTGCAATAGCTTTTCCTTACATCTAGAAAGCACGCGTCTTCAAGTGGTCTTGAGGGACGGTATTTTCGATGGGACTCGCAGGTAGTCTCAACTTTGCGGCGATTTAAGTGCATTTGTGCAGCTGATACAGGCTTACATGAAACCTCTAAGCGCAATTTTGCTAGTAACATGCCGTTTTGTTTGCATACTATAGACCTTCTTTATACTGATTCTTGAAATTTGAGGGAATCTTCGAGTATATCTAATTGTAAACACGCTGGTACGAATGCTCAAATAGGCCCCTACCCTTTGGGTGTCTCACTTGATCTTTACAGCTACACTGTCAGCAACACTTAGCAAGATGAAGGTTTTCTCTGTCATTGCGTTGATTGTGGCATCATTCGGTGCTTTTGGTAAGTTTTTCCGCCATACTGTAGTTTTATTTATCCTGTATAAAGATAGAGGGAAAACTTTCAGTTTCTTCTGTAAAAGGGAAATACCCGACATTCCTGCGTATTTCTTAGAAAGCGTATATCTTAGAATGAGATAAGAAGAAGAAGTCAGAAATGGTATAGATTTTACCGAAACACTTTGCAACTTCCGGGATGCCAATGTAGGTAATTCTCTGCATGCAACTTATTTAGCTCCTCTTTGTATTTGTAAATTGCGATAATTTTCTGTATCATTGAATTAGTTTTCTGTAATGTTATCTTTTGTCCTTGTAGTTTTTGCTATTCTTTTGCATAGTTAAGATTATAAATGAACTGCATAAAAGAACGGTACATAATGACGAAATTGGGTCCAAAGCCATCGCAATTCAAGTGATTGAATCACAGGCTTTTTACCTAACGTTATTGTACAATAGAATTTAACGAACATCGCTTGACATTATTTTTACTGATATACAAGTAGTCTGTTTACATGGCCATTCGCTCAATCGATTCATCAATGACATAGCGTTATTGCAAACCAATAAAAATAATGTTGATTAACCTCAAAATTTAATGAAAAAAGCTTTGATGACAAAACGATCCAAGACGTTGGAAATAACATGTTGTTTTCTGTTTCTTCAAGTTTATCGAAGTTTAGATATTACTGAGCAAACCAACAATCAAAGATTTATCAAAAATTTTTGAACATTTACATTTTCAAGAACATTTTCAAATGATACATGAAACTTTGAATGTTCTTGCTAAATTATCTGCCTGCATCTGATTCGGCTTACTTTTTGATTATGATATCATCAAATCTTCCTTTTAATGTTTCAGCCGAGGAGGAGGAAAGTGCCCATGACATCATCCTTAAAGTCAACGAACAAGGTTAGTATAGAGCAGTGTGATCTATCACTTCTTTCCTAGCCTGTGTTCCAGACCCCTAACTTGAAAGTTAGGGGTCTGGAGCACAGGCTATTCTTTCCTGGCATAGTTTCTGGCCATTGCATCAAGTTCCGTTGATATCAAGTTAGCAATAAAATGAAATGCCGAGATGCTGCATTCTTTAACTTTTATTTGGAGAACAATTTCTTCTTTGTATCAGCCTGCCTGTGGTATTAGCTTTCTCTGTAATTGCTATCATAACTAATTCACGAAAAATAATTTTTTTTTAAATTTTTGAACTGAAGAAAGAACTGTCTTACCTTTTTACTTTGCATATTGAAGATTGCATCTTTTGTTCAGTAAAAAACCAAGTTTAAAACTACTTTTGTATAAATTTTAACTTTGAGTATTTGAATGGGTTGTTTAGGCTTTTCTAGCTATTAAAAAGAAAGAATTTAATTAAGATCATGACTGAACTTGTTACAAGTTTCAAGAGACGACTTGAGGTAGAAAAATGATTAAGTATTTGAAAATACAGCATACCTTCTTTCTCTTGATTTTTTAGCCCTTGAAGAAGGACTTGCATTTGGAAGCATCGGTAAGTTGAGAGACATATATAAATATCAATTTAACTCGAACCTATTACCAATCATCTTTTCGATCAAAAAAAAATAATCAATGTGCAAAAATGTTTTTTGATAATGATGTTGAAAGCAATTTGACAAAAGTGCTTTTGCTACTGATAAATGACAAGTTCTAGGGCGCTTTTCATCAAACTAGATTTTGATAAACTTTACCTAAAATGCAGGACCGAAGTTTGTATATTCTGTGTATTTGGGATTCGATACGTAATGGATAGTTTGTAAATTCAAAAAGTAAAGAATACAATCTTGTTTTAAGTTGCAACAACCCTGAAAAATTGAAACTAGTAATCATTGCACAGTTCAGAAAATCTTAGGCCCGATTTGCTTCGCGGGAATCTTCTCAAATATACATGCTTTTTGCTGTTTCCCCAATAGACCAACCACCACTTATTGAAGGTGATATAATTGACGACGATGACACCCGTCAGAAGATGGAGGCTGCAAGCCGTGGAGGAGCAGCAGCATTTGACGCCTTGAATGGTGGAAAATGGCAAAATGGCGTGGTTCCTTACGTATTCGGAAATGTCGGTAAGGTTTTAAGGAAAACATTCTTTCAGTTGCAACTTTGTCTATAACACGTTTGTTGGTTGATTTTTAGCCATCCGCTAAGCGTAGCCAAGGTGCAAAGGCGATTGAATCGAGCCTAAATGAACGTTTAGAGAAAATGCTTTTGCAACCAGGCCCTTCTCGATGCCGAAAAAGAGTTTTTTTTGAAAACCTATATGAAATGATCTTTGGCTAATTGAAGATTGGCGCTATCTTCAGATACTTATTTTCTGACCACATGTAATATAGAAAAGGGCTGCCCCCTCTTTGCTCCGCACTACAAAATGCCCTTCACTTTGATAGTTCCAGGCATTACATGTTTCGAAGGCATTTCATTTGGTACCCTTGGTACCAAAGCCTAACTCCCCACTTATTCGCCGAGGCTCTGGTACCCAGGTATTTACTTGGAGGCCAACTATTTAGTAGTTGCGTTAATAAAGAGCTAATTACCTATACTGAGAGGAAATGCAAGCCCCTGTCTATGGCTAGAGACCTGCTCTGGCTGTGTCACTCCTTTACATTTCCTCTCACTAACATTTTCCCAAATCCTGTTCACTAATAACTACGTCTCTCTTAAGGTAAGAATTGAGGCACTTTAAAACCCGCTTTAGAATTTGCATGACACAAATAAATCGATCACCGCACGCAATCTAGGGTTTTATTACAAATCTATTTGGAACATAGCCTTTTCGAAGAGAAATTAGTTGCGGGGTCAAGCATGTATCTATACAAAGAGGAGGACTACAGACCGTTGTTTAAATCAATGAAAAAATACTGGGAATAAAGGGGCAATTGCTCCATTGCTAGTATTCAAAAACGGCCCTCATTTGGGATCTTTGCATATATTTGCATTCATAAATGTCCACATATCTTCAACAAATGGAGAAAACAAGCTATTTACATTACCCAATCAGAGAAGTTGTTCTTATCACTGGCAAAGATGCTTTGGAAGTAACGAATGCGGAGTTGATTAATTTTTCAGAATTTTAAAATTGTCTGATGATCATACAGTGATAAAGCACAAAGACTGAACTCCATCCTTTATTGTTATAAGATATATATCCTATGTAAGCAGCCTAAATTCCCCTTATTTTAGGATAAAGAAAGTTGTGCTCAATTTCGAATGCACCTTTTTCCACACCATCAATCGACAACAGTGGCTTGAACATTTATATACATAATCAGTAATGACATTTTCCAAGTTTAACCTTATACTTTGCATTCTAGGCAGCCGAGCAAGATCTCAGATCCTGAAAGCTGTGGAGGAATACAAGAGAAAGACTTGCATCAAATTTATACCAAGAACCAACCAGAGAGATTATGTCATCTTTAACGCAAGATCTGGGTATGTTGGGCACGATAATAGTCATTTAATTGGTTTAGATTTAATAAAGTAGTTTTACATAAAACGGTATCTACATAAGCAACAATCTGTCCTTTGGAATTATACAAAGCCTTGAAACATTGACCACTTGTAATTTTATTGTATTTTCCAAAAATGCACATTCTAGAATGGTTCTAGTTTTGTTCTAGAATTATTTTCCAGGCTCTGAAAACATGAAAATTTCAAGTCGTTAACTTCTCACTAGAATCATGCATTAAACCTATTTGCATAATTGATCATCTTAATTGATCCATTACACCCTGGATTTATAAGATTTTTTAAAAGTTAAAATTCATGAAAAAAGTTTGCAGATAGAGAAGTATCCTCAAGC